TTCTGCAGTGTCAAAGGCATCAATTTGTCGTATAGGCTTGTTGGCCTATGCTGTCCAGTGCAACTCTTAGTAAAGATTTAGGGGTCTATTTTTCGGTGTGTTACTTAAACAGCAGCAGCATTTTGATAATAACTACCAGTTTCTGCTGCCTGTTTGCCATGTACTTTGTGTGTAGCCTTCTGCCATTTTCAAGAGTTTATAAGGTTGGTGCTGTCATTTTATGATCAGAGAAACAGGCTTCAAGACCGAGTGTTAGGATAACTACACCTATCTGCAGTAGAACTTGGCACTCCAATCTAGTGTGTCCATCCGTATGTCCTAAAGTTTACTTGATAGGTAACAGGTCCCTCATTACTCATCCTTTATCTTCTGTTGCTGCTGTAAATGCAGTAGACCTTATGGGAGGCTAAGGTGCTCTTAAAACTGGGACTCTCTCCCCTTAACAGTTTCTGGGGTTTTGGTTTTGTTTTATTTTGTTTGGTTTTTCTTTCTGAATCCTATAGAATAGTTTCTTTTAGAAATTGAGTAAAATTTCAGTACTTTTTCCTTTAAAAAAATTCTGATTACGTTCCTCTCTTGTTACCAGGAAATTGAGTGGAAACAAAAACACCATGGAAACTAGTTGAAAAATGTTGCTACTGTACTCCCCCACCACAACTTCTGTTTTTATTGTATCAAATTAGATACAATTTCCCATCCTGCTGTTGTAGTGTTGCAGTAGATCTGTATGCTTCTTGACTTACTGTGTACAAAGGCAGACGTCAGACTAACACTTCTTCTCCCCAAACAGGCATTTGTCTAGAGCAGGTTTGCACCAGTAAGCTTCATGACTCCATCTGCACTGATACCAGTTTTCTTCCTAGATCTGTATGACACAGCCTTTAGTTTTAAAACATGCTGACTCTTCTATTCCTCATGCTTTATTTGAAAATATATAGGGATTAAAAATGAATCTTGAGCCTGACAATATAACTCTGCCAATCTTAAGTGTTTTGACCACACACTAAGTGAGGCAGGTATTTTTTTTTTTTAGTTTTGTTTTATGTATGTGATGTGTACTACTTGTGTGCCCATGGAGATGTCTATGACCAAGGCCAACTTACAGAAGAAAGAGTTTATTTGGTACTTATGGTTTCAGAGGCCGAGTCCTTGATTATCATGAAGGGGAGCATGGTAGCAAGCAGATAAATAAGCCTGGTACTAAAGCTGTAGCGGAGAGCTCACATTTTGATCCACAAGGAGGAGGCAGAGAGGTCTAACTGGGAACAGCGTGGGCTTTTGAAACCTCAAATCCTGACCCTAGTGACACATCTCTTTCAATGAGGCTGCTCCTCCTAATCCTTTCCAAACAGTTCCACCAGCTCAGGACCACTTATTCAATCATATGAGCTTATAGGGACCGTTCTCATTCAAATCACTACATTCCACTCCCTGACTCCTATCGGCTTGTTGTCATACTATAATGCAAAATGCATTTAGTCTACCTCGAAAAGTCCACATAGTCTTTCACAGTCTCAACATCATTTCAAAGTCGAAAGTCTCTTAACTGTAAACCTCTGTAAAATCAAAATCAAATATCAAATTGCATACATAATAATATACAGTGGCACAGGTTGTGTGTGTGTGTGTGTGTGTGTGTGTGTGTGTGTGTGTGTGTGTGTGTGTGTGTGTGTATCACCATTCCAGAAGGGGGGAATGGTGCCATAGTGAGGGAAAACTGGACCAAAGTAAGACTGAAGGCCAGTGGTGCAATCCCTCCAGTCCTGTATCTCAATGTCCGATGTCAGAGGGCTCAGATGGGACCACCCTTCCAGCTTTGCTGACCGCAGCATACTTCTCTCTCTTGGACTGGTTCTACTTCCTGTATGCAACTCTTTCTGGCAGACATCCCATGGTGCTGATACCTCCAGCATCCTGAGGTCTCCAGTGTAATCCAGGCTTCATTTTTACAGCTTCATGCAATGGTCTTTCAGGGCTTCTATACAGGGGCCCTCTGCTAGATGCCTGCTGTTGGAGGCTCTCCTTGAATGGTGGAAGTAGATTCTTGTATCCTTCTTGACTCTAAAGCTATAACCATGTGGTGTCACTGCTACCAAGTTAGGCCGCCTGCTTTAAAACATGGCATCGGGCAGGCAGGTATGATGCTGAAGCAGTTGCTTAGAGCTCACATGTGCTCTACAAGCAGGGGGAGATAGAGGGCATTGGGAATGGCGTGGACGTTTGAAACCTCAGAGCACACCATCAGTGACATGCCTTCTCTAATAAGGCCACACTTAACTACTACCTCTTAAACAGTTCCACCAACTGGGAACCAAGCATTCAAATATATGAGCCAGTGGAGGCTATTCTCATTCATACTACAGGAAGTCAGAAGAGGGTATCTGATCCCCTGGGATTAGAATTATGGATAATTGTGAGTCCCTCTGTGGGTGCTGGGAACCGAACCTGGGCCCTCTGCAAGAGCAACCAGTGCTCTTCCTAACCTCTAATCCAGCTCTGCAACCCAGCCCTTTGTTCTTAATCTGTAGTAACCCTTTCAGTTGACTCTAACAAGAACTTACCCAAGAAACTTTCCCTTCCCACCTTTAATCTGTAGTTGTTTGTTTTTAAAAGAAGCTTGTAATTATTATACCAGGCAATTTTCAGATTTATGGCACATTTTACTTAATCTGATTAATAATTAATTCTTCAGAATGTGGATTTATGTGCGAAAGGAAAGTGCATAACTTTCTGTGACAACATGCCTTGGCCTAACATTTGAGAACTGTAGGAATGGACCTTGACATTGCCAAGAGGACTGATTCCTCTCTTCAGAGCCCCCGTCGTGCTCTCGTCTAGGGATCTGTCTGTCTATAGCATTATTAACTCTTGTAGTAAACTTAACAGTCCGCCTCAGTGTCCCCTTGAGCCCACGTCTGAAACCTCTCACAAACTCATTTTAGCTTTTCACAAATAAAGCTTGCAATAACTTACTTATATGCTCTTTATCTACTCACAGATTCTTCTGTCAGTCCAGCAGAGAGAAGCATAATTGTGTTGCCTAATCAGTTCCTCCCTCCTCGCTTCCCTCCATCCCTTCCCACGTCTTACCTTCCTCTTTCCTTGCCTCCATCCCTTCCCCCATCTTACCTTCCTCTTTCCTTCCCTCCATCCCTTCCCCATCTTACCTTCCTCCTCTCGTCCCTCCATCCCTTCCTCCTTGTCCCCTCCCTCCTTGTCCCCTCCCTCCTTGGTTAGCCTTATTTCTCTCCACCTTTGCTTCTGCACAGGTGAGCAGACATTTTGTCAGCCACAGATAGATTGCTGTGCATACGTGCACACTATACAGCTTTGAATGCCATACTATTATTTTATCATAGTTGTTTGGTTTGTGTATATGTGTGTACACACAGAGGGTAAATATATAGACCAATAAATTATATTTACTTCTAGTACCATTGCCATTGCCTTTTTGATTCAGATTTTCAGGTTTTCATCCCAAAAGTTTGGGAAAGAGATTGGCAAGAAAGAATGAGGTCTGTTTGATTGGATTAAGTGCACTGGGTTTTCTATTTCAGGCTAACGCAGTATCTTCTCTATGGCTCAACAAGTTTTAAAGTTTGAAGGTGGAGTTGAATTTGTATCCATCGTTATTGATAACATCACTCTTAGGTCTACTGACTGTCATTCTGAGTGTTCACTCCTTCAGGCAGTGGCTTACCTGGTGGTAGTCTCTCTTCTCTGTGTACAGCATTGGACACAAAGCCCTTGAATCATAATAAATGTAATAGGCCATGTCCTTTCGCATCAGCTTTGGCTGTAAATAATGGATTCTGCTTTGTAGTATCTGTGGGCCTTAGGCATACTACTTTATTTCTTGAAGACTTGGTGATCATAAAATGGTTACACAGAGAAAATGACACACCAAATACCCAGTATATTTGTTTACTAAGCACATTTTATTAATACAGACTCACACAGCAGTGAGAGCTGTGTTGTGCCATAAGGGCAAAGGATGTAAGGAAGATTCTGGAAAAAGTAAATGGGAAAACAACTTATTCTTTTTAGGTATATGGGAAAAATTATTTTCTCTTTCTTTCCCTCTCTCCCTCAAAGTGGTGATGGTAGGAGCAGAATATAACAGCTATTTGAGATCATTGTTAGAAAATTGAGAAAGCACCACATGCTTTGTTAACTATGATCTCTAGGTTGGAAATACTTACTTCTGAAAGGGTAGGAAAGTGTGGAGAAGAAAGTCTTGTCTGCAAGAGCACTAACCCCCAGAAGCTGCGTGCTGCTGCTGTGTCTTAGAAGTTTGGCTCTGGTGGAGCTTGCAGTGGCATGTGGTTGTTAGTTAGCCTCCGGTCACATGGTGCCTGCTGATCTGTAGAGTGGGAAGCACAGTCCACTTCATGTTTGCCTTTTCGGAGTTGGGCTTGTGGCCACAGCATTGCATCATCTTTATTTGCACCAGGTGATTTGATTGACATGCTTGTTGCCTTAGAGGTTGAGACAGGTAGAAAGGATCTGGGAGCAACAATCTTATGTAACTTTTGGACCTTGACTTGCATGAAAAGCTTTTCCTTGTAACCATTCATTCTACAGTCTTGGATTTACTATATGGGGGTGCAGGGCTGTCTGTGCCGCTCCTCCCATAACCCTGTTCTTCCTGTGGTTATTTCAGATCTAACTCAGCTCAGTAAGCCTTAGGCTGCCTACTGCATACTGGACCTTATAGGATCCCAAAGCTCGCATTCTGCAGTTTGTTCAAATGTAACAGCACTAGTTTATACTGCCCGTTCTGTGTTACCAGAATGATGAAAGCAGGAATCCGTATTAACGTGGGATATTCGTATTTGTAAATAACAAGAAAACTAAAAATAGAATTTTAAGAAATTGGGAGAGGAAGGTTTTTTTTCAGGAGGAGAAATCTTGAGTGCTGTGAAAAAAGCTGAAAGGACCCACCAGGGGACTCTTGCATCAGGAGATTCAATTTTCTTTGCTACCTGTGCTTTCTTTAGGTCATGACTGCTGTGAGACAGTGAAGGTGCTGCTCTGCGCTTCCAAAGAGGGCCTGCCTGTGTTTGTAGTAGCTGAAGAAGACTTCCATTTCGTCCAGGATGAGGCGTATGATGCAGCTCAGTTCCTGGCAACCAGTGCTGGCAATCAGCAGGCTCTGAACTTCACCCGTTTCCTTGACCGGTCAGGACCCCCTTCTGGAGATGTCAACTCTCTGGATGAGAGGGTCGCCCTGGCGTTCAGACACCTGAAACTGCCCGCGGAGTGGAATGTGTTAGGGGCAGATCACACCTTGCACGGTGAGAATTCCCATGACTCACAGACTGCTCTGGGATGCTCTGCCTTTGTTTTTAAATGCCCATTGTGTTCGAGTGTTTGCATGGCTGAGTAAATTAGAATTCTGTACAGAGTACTCCCTCCTCCTGGTGACATAACCTAAGAAGACTAGCACATCTCTGTGGATCTGCAGGTGATTTACACTTCGTGAGGAGAATAGCAGAGTAACCTTCTTCGTTTATTCATAAAATTATAAGTACAGGGTTTTTGTTACTGTATCTGGGGCTCTGTAAAAATACTGTGGAGTTGTAGGAAAGCATCTGTAGGGGAGTTGTATCAGGGAAACATGAGATCAAGATAAGCGTTGAGAAACTCCACAATTCTTTGACTAGGTTATTGATTTTTTATCTCTCGGTATAAAGTTTCTGACAGGGCCACATTAAAAAAAAAAAACCACTTCTGTTGTAATAAATACTTACATAAACTCTCCTAATTAGACAAGGGTTTCCTCGTATAATTATTCTTATAGCAAACAATATCCAGATGTCATCATTACAAATACGTTTTTGTTTTTGTTTTTAGTAAAATATTCCTGGGTTCATAAATAGCATCCTGTTCCTATCCTTAGTGGAAATCCAATTGAAAAAAAAAAACATGTAGAAATCTCCCACAGAGCACTCAGAATGTTTGCTTCAGCACTGACGAGAGCTGCATTGGAGGACTGGTTGTCAGTCGGGCTTCTGACAGAGGGTTTGCTTACACTGTGTACTTACCTCCAAAAGAGCATGTGATCTTACATGGTGTCTGGAGCCCACCCCGCTTCAATTATAGTGCTGTGTAGGGTGAGCAGAGCAAAAGTCTTCCTCTCCACAGCTGAGATGAGGAGTTAGTTTCTAAGGACAGAAGCCAGGCTTAGTTCCTGTTCTTCATACCAGCCAGATAAGTTGATTCTTCCTCCAGTGATCTAATGGTAAGGAAATACTTGCTGGCATTGATTCTGTTAAATCAAGTTTAAAGGTAAGCTGTGACCTAACAGCAGAATGATAGGCCCCATGCTTTAGAGACATACTGATGGTGGTAACAACTACCACCAAGACTGGATTGTTCGGGTGAAACCGGGAAAAAGTGTGGACAATCAAATCTAGAAGAAAAAATTGTTTTCACTTTCTTATTAGGATAGTAACCAAGAAACTTCTGTACTGCTAAGATATTAAGGTCCAAATACAGTTACAGCCTGAATACCTATTCATGGATCCTGATTCTTCCTAATAGTTCCTGCCATTTCTGTATTGATGGGCAAATAATTATTTTTACACTTTTATCCTGTCTTATTTAAAGAGGGCCCAGGACTTAGTTTGACCATGTTCTGTGATTAAACAGAACTGTTAGGGAAGCAAAGGTCAGAAGGTCTGGGCCCAGGTTTCCTTGTCTTTTTGTTTTTAAACATCCCCAACCCCAATGTGTGTGGGTGTGGGTGTGGGTAGGTAGGTAGGTAGGTAGTAGATTTTGTGAGCTGTTCAACGTAGATGCTGGGAATTGAACTCTGGTCCTTTGTCAGATCCAGCAAGTACTTTTAACTGCTGAGTCATTTCTCCAGTCCCTTCCTTCCTTGTCTTTAGTCAGAGGAAACTGGCAAGCTTTAATTCATTGTATACTTTTACTACTTTTAGACTTTCTGAAGTATAAAGTGATATTAGCAAAGACGTAATTCGTATACTTTTAGGAAAGTACAGATCCACAAAATAATGTCATTGCATACTTGTTACAGTTAATATTATGGTTTGGATATAACGTCTTGGCAAAAGCACCTTTGTTGAGGTGTGGGACCCAGTTAGTGTTGTTGAAAGATAGCTAATTGGGTCCTGGGGCAAGAGCCTCATTAGTAGATTAATCCATTGATGAGTTACTGACTGAATGAACTATTAGGAGGTAAGCCTGGATGAAGGAAGTCATTCACTGAGGGTGCGCTTTGAAGAGTATATCGTGTCACTGGCTTTTCCCCTTTCTACTTCCTGTTGAGGTAAGCAGCTTTGATCCACTGTGCCGTTCTGCCATGATTTACTGCCTCATAGTAGGTCCATAAATAGTGGAACTAGTTCACAGACTGCAACTATGAGACAAAGGAGATGTGACTCAGTTGGTGGAGTGCTTGCCTAGCGTGGATGAAGAGCTGGGATCAATCCCCAGCACCTCGTATGTTGGGTGTGGTGAAGCACACATATAATTCCAGGCCATATCAGGTAGATACAGGAGGAAGAGGAGTTCAAGGTCGTTCATAGTCAGTTTGAGATATATGAGACCCCATGTTTTGTTATAGAACCCAGAGTGATTGATTGACACAAACAGCTAAAACTAAAAAGATGAAGTTCAGACATGGATTCAGAATAATATCTCCCATACTGCTTTTGGAAAAGCCAGCTTGGAAGAAGTTTGGTAGTTTCTTCTATCACCTAGTATTCCACTTTTGGATATTTACCCTAGAAAAGTGAAAGTGTATCTTTACCAAAATGTCTATATACAAATGTGCCTACAGTAGCATTGATCATGTATCACCAGAAATGGAAACAGCTCACATCCCTCTGTGAGTGAGCACACTAAACCAATTTTGATACAGCAATACAATTGAATATCACTCAGCAATTCAAAAGGAACAAAGTTTTGATATGTGCAGCAGCTGGGGTGTATTTTGAATTCTTTGTGCTCAAATCAAAGTCAGTTCCCAAAGATTATATAATATATGGTTCTGCTTATATATTCTGAAAAAGTGTTACTAAAAAAATAAAAATAAATTCTAAAAAATCAGTAGTTACCATGGCCTGGGAGTAGGGAAAAGGTCTAACTTCAAAGTTTTATCATGAGAGAATTCTTTGTGGATATGGGAGTTACTCTGCAGCCTGTTTTTGTGATAGTTTACAAGACCCTAATGCATACTGTATATCTCCCCTAAATGAATTTTATTGTATATATACATTTTAAATAGTAACTAAAATTCAAAAGTAATTGAACAAGTTAAATACATACTTTGCAAGGTAAAATATTTAATGTATTTATTCTTATATTTGTGTGTGTATGTGTATACGTGTGAACACATGTACATACATACCACACCACACATGTAGTCAGGACAACCTGCAGGAGTCAATTCTTTTTATTACGTGAGTTTGTGGAATAAAACTCAGATTGTCAGGCTTGGTGGCAAATGCCTTTACTGCGCCATTTCACTGAGTAAAATTTATAATAACAAAATTTAATTTAAAAAGTATGTAAATTAATGCCTTGAATCATGAATCTGATTTCGAGTGTTCTCAGTCACATTCTGTAGTATAGATAGTTTGCTCAGTTGTGGGTTAGAATCTAGGAACATTGGCTGTGATCGTGATAGATGAATATAAGTTAAGAGCCTATGTTTGCTGTTAAAAATGAATGCAATGGAATAATCTGTTTACACCAGCCATTTTATTAGTTAATTGCAATGCATTTTAAAGGAAAGAGGTATGAAACAAACTTGGTACCTGGGATGAAAACAGGTAGATGTCAGGACGTCTTGTTATATAATAGGGCCACTCGCTGTTGAATTTTGTTCCAGAGTAATACTTCTAATACTGTACAAAGGAGGAATGTAAGATTTATGGGCAGTCCTCCCACTAATTGTTGAGATGCATCACTCTTTACCCCACCTCTCACCTCCAGGTCAGTGACTCCTTTGAACGTATTTCATATTTCTCCTCAGGGGAAAAATGCATATAGCTGCCTCCTCATAAACATTTACATATAACAGATTTCACAGCCCTCCTGAACCTCAGGCATGAACATAAAGTTAAGAAGCCCTGGTTAGTTTGGGGTTTTTTAAATGGAAAGAACAAGGGAATTGGAGTTTACTTGTTATATCCTGGCTTCATTATGGCAGTTTGTGGAAAACATTAAATTGTTACTTAAATTTTTCATCAACAAAGTGGACAAGAGTGTAGCCTGGTAGTGTGTACTGGTTTGCAGGCTGGTTGTTTGAATATACCATGACCTCTATCTTACTATCTTTTCAAGGCACAAAACATACCTTGACAGGTCAAAAACAAGTCTCATGAAAGGATGGAGCAGGCCAGTCCTAAGAGGAAGGGTCTTCAAAGAAAAATGGGATTGCTTTCCGTTGCTCTTATGTTTTGCTGAAGTTAGTCTTAACTTTAACTTTGAGCAAGAAGAAATTGGGCTATTATTCTTTAAAAGATTTTATTATTTACTCATTCATTCATTTGAGACAGGACCTCACTATGTAGTCCTGGCTATCTTGGAACTTGCTATGTAGACCAGACTAGTTGAGAATTCATAGAGAGCCCCATGCTTCTGCCTCCTGAGTGTTAGTATTAAAGGCATGCATAACTATACCTACCTATGTTTTATTTATGAGTATGAATGTTTTGCGTAGATGTGTATATTTGTACCATGTATGTGCCTGATGCCCACCAAGGCCAGAAGAGGACCTCAGATCCTCTGGAACTAGAGTTACAGATGCTGCTCTGTGGATGCTGGGAACTGAATCTGGGTCCTCTGCAAAAGCAGCAAATGCTCTTAACCACTGAGCCATCTCTGTGGCACTTGTTTATTTTGTTTCTTCCAAATGTCCTCCATTCTCAAGTTTATATAAAGAAGTCTCCACACTCTGCTTTTTGCCACAGGCTGCCTTAATTGAAAATAATGAAAGTTCATCTGGGTGGAAGGTGAGCTGTACAGAATAGACACCCTATTTTTTTCCAGAATTTCCCAAGCCTTATTTAGTTGCCTTAACTCTTCGGTGTCTATGTGCTTAGAGAGAAGATAAGTTGAATAGTTTCTCTTAGAAGAGCGTTGTATTGTAGCAATCAGTATAACTCTCGGGTAGCATACAGTGAGCCCATTGAATATTTTCTGTACAGTAAGCAAGGAGAACACATCCTAGTGGATATTTCCATCCTATGTCCTCTTGGTATTGTATAAGGAAGTGAAAGTTAGATGTGAGTATCTTTGAGGGTGGCAGTCATCCCCACAATTTTGGTAGAGAATGTTGACACATTTAAGAAGAACGCCCTAAGAATAGGCACTGCGTTCTCACTGGCTAACTTTGGTTAGTAGATACTCGACCTTAATCATATGGTGATATGGTTCCTACAGTCCTTTCAGGGTGTTTGATAGCTCTCCATATCAAGTTTATCCTTGTTATACTAGTATTTGTGTGTTTTTCCAGTTATCTTCTCTGCTAAAGAAGAAAAGAATAATGCTTTGGATTTTCCGCTGTCTTGGCAAAGGATTAATGGACTTCTAAGATAGGCAGTCCCTATCAGCAGGAGTTTAAGCTCTAAAAGGTTTTGCTGCCTCCAAGACCTTGTTATTGTCACAGTTATTCTCATTTTTTTCCCTAAAAAGCCCATTTTCTGCCTCCAGCCTGTTAAGGATGCATCCATTCCTTGTGAATGTAAAGATTCCTGCTTCTCGTGGGTCTACAGGTTTGTTTATAGGCCAGTACTCAGAAGTGAAGTGGACAGGGCAGTGACTTTGAAATCCCAGAGCTGCAGGTTCAAACAGTGCTGTGAGGAGAGCTTGTTGGGTAGATTGATGGCTAGGACAGTACTTGTAGTCCTTGATTATTACATCATCCAGAGACTCTAATAGCCGTTTATTCAGGAAATGTAACTTGAAAAAGATTAAAGTCTTCCAACAGACCCCTTGTGGTTGAATGAAAGCCTTCTGGGTACAGCAGCTTTCCTACAGGTCTGGGGAGCTGTGTGAAAGTGTGTCAGCATGAAAGCAGATGGCAGTTGGAGTTTACAGACCTCTCTGCTCCCCCTCTCTGGTTTAGCCACTCCGTGATAGACCTTCGCATTTAAGTATGGTTGTTACGGTTTGAACCTAGAACGATCCTACATTTTTGAATGCTGTTTTTAAGATTCTAGAGCCTTTCAGTTGGAACTGGCTCTTGGAAGAGGTCACTAGGGGCTGGTCTTTGGAGGTGACACCTGCTCCTGCTTCCAGCCCTAGTCTAACTGATGCCCTATGTGCTACCATGTGAACAAACTTTGGCTACCTTCTCGCACTGCCATGTTTCCCCTGCTATGACTGGATAAATTTCTGGTACCAAGAGCCAAGATAACGCCCTCCCTTAGTTGTTTTGGCAGGTGTTTTGATCACGACTTTGGGAGAAATCATGAACACAGTGGTCAAAAGGTACATAACCAACATGGGTCCTGCGAAATGTACCTAAAAGAGAGACATTCAGTAGGGCAAAGATGAGGAGAAATTGTTGGAAATACTGTAAGAACAGTCTGATTCCCTTGATAGAATTAAATTCTATTGTGATAAAGGACCCAAATAACACTGTAGGAAATCTAGCTAGCAGCCTAAAAACAAGAAGTTGAGAGCTGAGGGAGTGGCTTGGGGTTAAGACCTTGCTGCCCAAGCATGACAATCCGAGTTTGGATCCCAGCACCAAGTAGAAAGCCAAGTGTGGTGGCTCACATTTCTAACCAGTGCTGGGGGTTGGAGATGAGCAGATCCTGGGAGCTCTTGGCCACCAGGCCCATGAACACCTCCAACCTACACCCACAAAAATTTAGTAACTCCTGAAATATAGAGGAAGAAGACCAAGAATCATGGGTTGAGGAACCATAGCCAGTGAAAATTGATTGTGAATTATCGGTACTCTGCAGTTAAACTTGAAATGAAAGGGAGAGAAGCAATCTGGGAGGTAGAGGTTAAGGTGAGAGCTCTTACGCTATTTTTACAAAACAGCCTGGATGAAACTCCATTAGTATTTTAATCTTTTCCCCCCTTTCATCTTTGCCTCCTCTTTTTTGAACCTAATTCGCGTGACTCCTGTGAAGAGCCAGTAGACTTTGAAAAAGAATAGGTGGTTTTTAGTCAATCTGATGGAATTCCACATGGCAGCTATGTGGAGAATCTCAGAAAGGATGGAAGTAGCCTCATACAAGAGTGTTTGCCGTATCACTTCATTTATATGGACTTTTTGCATAGGTAGAAACCATGCAAACTTCCAAGCAGTGGTTGTCTCTAATAATGAAGTTTTAAATGGAAAATGGCATAAAGGAACGTTGTGTGATGTGCATAATGTCCTATATTTTGATGGCAGTTTGACTTAACACAAGTATCAAGTGTGTCAGGTGTGATGGCCCATGCTTTTAATCCCAGCACTTGGGAAGCAGAGGCAGGCAGATCTCTGAGTTCGAGGCCAGCCTGGTCTACAAAATGAGTTCTAGGACAGCCAGAGCTACATAGTGAGAAAAAAAATTATACTGTATCACTTGTATTTTCCTATATCTTAGTCATTTAAACTTACAACATGTATTGAATTATAGTTGGTGGTACCCATCAAGTTAGTCTGATGTCTTCAACTTCCTTTGAAATGTGTGAACAGTAAGATGGATTGATGAAATCTGGAAGGAAAGATAGTTGATAAAGTACATACATTGATGGGGGAACATTTATTGCAGGACTTAAGTAGTTGAGTATCTGGTAATTGTGGAATCTTTTAGTTTATATGTATTCGAAATCGTAATAGAAGATGAGGGGTGGGATTGAAAAGTGGGGATGACATAAGACTTGAGGTGCTTGGCCTTATGGTAACTCACCTTCTGGTGACTCAGAGCAAAGGTACTAGAAAGAGTGGAGGCTGGAAAGAGAGCCACTTTGAGGAGATGTTGCCTGATAAGACTGGAATTAACCAGCTCTGAAAAAATACCCACATATTTCCTGGTCCGTAAGTGCTTAGTTCTTTGGTATTTTGATAAGGTTGTCAGAGCGTTGTGAGTGGCATAAAGCACAAGTCAGGTGTGTTTAATCCTTGGTGAGCATTGTTTCTGCCTTTTCCCCTGGCCTTGCCACTTCTGCAGAAAGTGTGTTTTTAAAATGTATGCTTGGAAACAATTATTTCTTCAAGGACATGATTTTCTGTGGGCTTTTTAGGGATTGGGGTTCAGTTCTTAGAGCACTGAGTATCAAATCCTAGCCCTGTGTATCTCAGCATTCTGCTCCAGAGCTGTTTTCCCAGTCCCTGAGGCATTGCTTTCTTTTCAGTCTCTGTCCCTGCTTGAACTCATTGCAAGTCCTGAATTGATCCCATGTATTAAGAAGATCAATCTGCTTTTAATGAAATTGTGTTGGTCATAAGGTGATACAAGTGACACCTATGACCTTATGACACCTTAGGAAACAGTACAGTTGGGACTGGAGAGGTCTCTCAGTGATTAAGTGCTCATACCACTTTTGCAAAGGACCTGAGTTCAGTTCCCAGCACTCAAGTCAAACGGTTCACAGTTGGCCTGTAACTCCAGTTCCAGAGGATTCAACTCCCTCTTCTCTGAGGCACTTCACTCACGTGCAAAACCCCCAGCCCAAAAGAAACAAAAATCCTTTAAAAATGGTTTATAAGAAGCACTGCAGTTCATTGTAAAGTCACATCTTCAAAGATGTGTTCATTCCTGTTGTGACACTCATATATAGAACCATATGAAGATTTCAGAGCACAGGAAAACGCTGGGGTCCGTCCAAGAAGTCTGAGGATGCCAAGTAGAGAAGTTGAGACCCAGAAGCCATGAAGAATAAGAGATGAAAGCCGAGCCTACAGGAGGAAAGGAAACACAGCTGCTGGATCTGAGTAATGGGTGTCACCCGTGGAGCCACAGGCAGTGGCTCTGCCTCGGCCCTAGCGCCTGTCTTCACAGCCCAGCACCAGAGGATGAGCTAGGAAAAATGCTGCTAGTGAAGTGAGCATGTAATTTGAAGCCCAAGAACAGGGCCGGAAGCAGGGAAAGGGAGGAGAACTGGAATTAACGAGAACCCTACAGCCAGCTGTTAGTCTAGTATTTCATCTGCCCCTCTCTGCTACAACAGCTCTGAGAAGTGATGGTGTCTTGCTCCAGGGATGTGAAAGTAAAGCTCAGAGAGGCAAGCGAACCATGCCTAGTCACACGGATGCTTAAGGCCGGGCTCGAACCCACTTTTGCCTGATCTGAAGCCCTTTCTCATCCTACCCGCTTTCTTAGTGACCCAGGACGCCAAAAAGGATCCTTCATTTCCAGTGAAATAAAGCCAAGCCCATGGTGAAGTCATTAGTGTAGTCTTACAGTTCGTCTCACTGGACCTGAAGATTCATTTCATTTTCTCATTAGGCAAACACAAAGCTGGTAGTGCCAGCAATTTGATATGCCCTTAGTGTGAGGGACTGAAGACCTATGTGTTCTTAACAAGTCTAACCTGTTTTTAGTGTTTAACTAGCCAACTCCTGTCTGAGCGCTCTTTAAAAAGTAATTATACCCTTCTGGATATACCCATCTAAGTCCTGACAACTGTTCTTCTTAGATCCCTGTCATATGGAAGGAGCTGCATTTACTTTGGTTATTGTTGTTATTTTAATGGAAGGAACATAATATAGTCACCTTTATCAGCCTCTCTGAAAAAGTACAGAAATGACTTGGTTCTCTCGTGTGGGTATTTGTCTCCTATTGAAGATTTTGCATCATAATTTTTTTTTTCTGGCTCTGTTGTCTTTACTTGAAAGGGATTTTACCTGGAATAAAGTTGTTTGCTTGTGTGTTATTGTTTACCTTCAAGACCTTAGATACTTGGAAGCAATAAAATCTACCTTGTCTTTTTCTGTTGTTGTGGTTTCTTTGGTCTGTGTTGGTGGTTATTGTTATATGTTCTTATTTTTACATTTTTCCCCATTTACAGATGGTGGCCCCCGGGAAACATTGATGCATTTTGCTGTGCGGCTGGGACTGTTGCGGTTGACATGGTTCCTGTTACAGAAGCCAGGTGGCCGTGGAGCTCTCAGCATCCACAACAAGGAAGGGGCAACGCCTGTAAGCCTGGCATTGGAACGAGGTTATCATAAGCTCCACCAGCTTCTGACTGAGTAAGTGTTCATTCCCATTTCCCTCCTGTCACTAGCCCCACCCCATACTTCCTAGTAGTACAGCCCACTGGCTCTGTACCTCACCTGCCCGCCTGCCACGGAGGTCCCTCTGTAAGCTTGCTCCTGCTAACTGCTTCATTGTTGAGAGACCAGTGTGAGTCACGTTACCATTTTTCTTTCTCTTGTCTGTTTTTCTCTTGTCTGTTTTCACTGTTTCTTACTGCCTGTATTTTATAGAAATCTCAGAATGAAATCTTGTCTGTGGAGGCAGCGTAACGTTACTAGTGTATAGTTTATGTGATTGAGTAGAGGAAGAAACAGTTTTGCTGTGTCATACTTTTTTTTTTCTTGGTATGTCTTCAAGACATGAGGGGGTAATTAGAAATTAACAGTTAGTTGTTATAATTGTATATAAACAACGGTAACAAGTTGAATTTTGGTTTGACTACAGTTCTTTGACTAAAGTTAGGAGCAGTGGTTTCTTGCGAGTAGCAGATCAAAGCCATTGCATTGCTGTGGAAATATGCAGTAGGAAATCCTGTTTGTCTTTGAATTCAGTTCGTGTTTTTTAAAGACTCCTCTGGAGGAAGACTAGTAGTCAAAACATTGAAAGGTTTTCCCCCTTTTATAAATGAAGGAGTAAATAGAGTAGCCATTGCTTTTTCACTGGAATATTTTCTTGCTTAATATATTTTTACTAGTTTTATGATCATCATTTTTCTGTCATATTACATGAACCAAACTGTGTTGATTCCCTGTTCTTTAGTATGAGGGATCCTTGTAAACTGAGGCAGTATTTCCAAATTCTCAGATATTTTGCTTTGCTTGAGTTAGATTTAATTTAGTTGCATTTCATGTCATTGTTAGTTGCATGTGTACAAGGTAGTCTGGAAGGACCAGGAAGAGGGCTTAGGATTTAAAGCAGCTTACAGTTGTATAAACAGTGTTGTTTTCTTTCTTTCTTTCTTTTTTTCCTTTATCTGCCAAGCTTATAACTTTCCCCATCAAGCCAGGCAGAAAGGTCTTTGCAGACAGCCTTGAGTGGGTGCTATGATACAGTAGTGGAAGGAGGGGCACCCTTCATCTTGGATGAGCTTTAGATACCTGAGCTCTCCTATGGCTGTACCAGAATGTGGTCTATTATGTTCCTTCATACTTGCCGTCTGGCCGGTGGGTAGTTTCATTCTGTTATTTGCCTCATGGTTTCAGGGAGGGAGGTGTTGTTCTAAAAATTAAAACAATTAACTCAGAATAACTGTTATGATTTTCAAATGCAGTTCCTCCAGATTTGATATTACAGCTGAGTGTTTGCTGGGAAGCCAAGTTTGTTACGGACTGCCATCCAAATGGGGAAATAAAATGATTGCAACAGCTTCATTATTAAATGTTTGGACCAGGGTGTCACAAGACTGTTATTGCAGCATGACTTTAAGAAAGTTAGAATATATTTATTCTTGGAGAGTTTTTGCTTACTTCAAAATACAACCTCTGTTATTTACAGATAAGTAAAAGTTACCAATGCTTCCTTTTAAAGGGAGAGTGGTGAGGGAAAAATCAGCCTGAGAAATGGAAGTAGAGGACTTGGGTAAGAGTGTGACCACCTTATTGCAGGTCTCTTTCCCTTAGCATGAATTCCTCTGGGTAGTCACTGTTTCAAAGCCAAGGAAACATGCTGAGTCACATCTGGCAATTAAAAAAGTAGGTATAGATGCCATTCTTGTAGTTCTCTTAGTCTTGGTTGAATACCAGCAGGCTATGCTAGAATACAGCAATGATGGTGGGTCAGGAGAGATCACCATTTTCTCTGTCTCTGTTGTGGGGACACACACATACTCTAAAATGTACTCTTTGGTTAGTTTTAATTATATAACTCGTTGTTATCTGCCCATCACTACTGTCCATTTCTAGAACCTACCATGAATTCACCCAGAAACCCTGTGCACATGTAGCACTAACTCTGTCCCACTCTTTCCCCATTCCTTGGCAACCTCTGTTCTACTTCTCTTCTCCAAGAGTCTCCATTCTAGGGACCTCACCTGCGCAGAACATAGAGTGTCTGTGCTTCTGCATCTGGTTCCTTTTACATCACACAATATCCTTAAGATTCAGCTGTGAGCCAGGGGTGGTGGGGCACACCTTTAATCCCAGCACTTGGGAGACAGAGGCCAGCAGATCTCTGTGAGTTCAAGGCCAGCCTGATCTACATAGTAAGTTCTAGGACAGCCAGGGCTATGTAGAGAGAGACCTTGGCTCAAAAACAAAAATGATTCGGTTGTGTTATGTACTGTTTATCAGAATAATAATTTTTTTAAGATTTCTAAAATTTAAATATTCTCATCATAAAAAAATGTAGTAGGTAAGGTGGCGAATATGTTAAGTGGATTGATTTAAATAGTTTTTACACTGTATACATCTGTTGAAATAGTCACATTATGCACCATAAATATGCAGATTGGCTTTTTTTTAATTTTTATTTTTTTATTTTTTTGCCAGTTTTCAAAAGGTCCAAATGACATTTAAAGGTAAATGTAACCTAAAAGTTGATCAACAGATGAATAAACAAAACATGTAAACAAAATGTGTGTGCGTAGGATGGGTTATTATTTGTTAGAGAGGAAACGGGCAAATTAACTGATGTGTGGTAAGAAGGTAGTGAGCCTGAAAGAGGTGACAGATCTCCTAACAGGTTGCTCATTGCTTTCTGTTGGTGGGATCCTTACGAAGAAAGAATCTGAGGACTAGACTTGACAGTATCTGTAGAGAATACAGGTGAGCTTGTGGGTGTTACTGAGTAAAGGGTTTGTTTTAGAAGACTCATGAAAGTTTTTTTGAAGTTTAGGAATTACCGACTGCACATTGCTGTAGACATTGGATATGACTGTCTTCCCCTCACATGTTAATTTTCTTCCACACAGACCTGGTTCACCCTGTCTCCTTCTCCCTCCATCATTCCTTTTGCGGTCCTGGGAATTGAGCCCAGGGCCTTAGGAATGATCAGCATGTACCTTTTGCTAAGCTCAGGTCTCAGCTCTTTTGTGTATTTATGTAGCATGCTTACCAGGGGAGGGCAGAGGCCAGCACATGGTGACTTCCTCTAGTGCTCCACCTGAAAGATTTTTGTTTTGTGTCCTGAAACTAGAGCTTGGTTTGTTTTCATTTTTTGTTTTTTTGTTGTTTTGTTTTGGGATGTGTGTGTGTGTGTGTGTGTGTGTGTGTGTGTGTGTGTGTGTGTGTGTGTTTTGTTGTTGTTGTTCTTATTTATTTATTTATTTTTATTTTTGTTCCTTGCTAGACTGGCTGGGCAGCATCCCGATCCTCCCGTCTCCACCCCCAGCATTAGGGTAACAGACCTGAGCCCATCATGCCTGTCTTTTTATGTGGGTGCTAGGAATAGGAACTCAGATTTCTTGCTTGCACAACAAGCACTTTACTGAAACGTCTCTCAGCCAAGGCCTGCCACTTTCAAAATCACCTTTTTTAAAAATTAGGACCAGATTGAGGAAGGATTATGTACTTAAAAAAAAAAATCCAAACAGCTAAGTCGCTATTTACATCCTAGTCTGTGATGGTTAGTGTAATTGTCAACTTGACAGTCTAGGGGAGATTATCTTGACGCTTTATTGAGGTAGGATGAACTGCCTACTGTTGGTGGAACCATTCCCTGGTTGGGGTCCCGGGCTGTATAAGTGGAGGAACAGAGCTCTGTTTCCTGCTTGTGAGTGCAGTATGACCAGCCATTTCATGTTTCTGCTTCCTTTACTTCCCTGCCAAGATGGATTGGAGCTTTTTATAAACCCTTAAGTTGCTATTTTCAGCCTATTTTTCCACAGCAACAGGAAAATGAATGGTAAAGGATTCTTCACAAATACATTTGGAGGAAAGTAAAGATGTAAACAGAAATGACCACCAAGACAGTACCATTCCAAACATAATTCCCTTACAATGAACAATTGATGAAGTAGGTGACATGATTTATAATTATTCATACAGGCCTAAGGGCACGCTATGACTATATGATATCTTTTTGTACTTTCAAATAATTTCACATTTTAGTTCAGTTCTCGTAGCCCAACTCATTCCTAACAAAGAATTTTTATGTTCAATCAGTTTTATACCTTTAAATTTTTTTGAATTGTTTTTTAAAGATTATTTTATGTGTATTAATGTTTAGCTTGTATGTATCTATGTGCACTAACTACATGCATACTTGATTCCCATGGAGTCAAAAAGACGGCATCAGATCTTCTGGAACTGGGGTTATGAATGGTTCCGAGTCACCATGTGGGTCGTGGGAATGAACCTGGGCGCTCTGGAAGAGCAACACGTGCTCTCAGTCTCTGAGCCATCTCTCTAGCCTTGAGTTTTACACCTTTCTGGGATAATTCATTTGCAGATAAGAAAACGTATAGCCAAGTTTTTCATATCGTTCATTCACATATGACCCCTCTTCCCCAATCTTCATATGCTATCCAGTTTCTTTATAATATTGGAGTGACCCATCTCAGGACCACATAGATGAGAGGTTCTGTACTGAGGAGATCACATCCTTGGGCATCTTCCCTTTCAACTCCTCTGGGTTTGGCTTTAGAGTGAGGCCCTGGATCTAGAACACAGTGGCTCTACCTCACTAGCTTGCAGTCACCAGAGTCACTGTCAAGGACATTTGTATCAATCATCATCTTCCTCCTCCTCCTCCTCCTCCTCCTCCTCCTCCTCCTCCTCCTCCCCCCCCTCCACCTCTGTCGCTGTTCTGCTTCAGTCACGATGTGGTTTGAACCAGATGAAATTTGTGCAGGTGCTTTGCTAAACTACATGGTGATCCATTTGAAAGTTTCGTAAACTGGTGTGTAACAGCATCAGTAATGTGAAGGCCACTAAGCTGTACAACTCCAATTTGTTTGATTGGTCTGCTGGGAATTCTTTTTTGTAATATATGTCATGGTTTTCTGGAAGTTAAAATTAGTAGAGAAGTGGGGAAAATTGCACAGCAGCCACTTTTG